GGGGGGGGCGGGGCTGGAGGGCGCGGCATTGGGACGGGTTAGGGCGCAACGCTTCCATTATGAAGGACAAAGAAACATAATCCAAACGATCTGCATGATAGGGGACAGTCGGGCAAGAGTGGGGTGAGGCGAGGCGGGGCGGGACGCGATTTGGAAACCTACGCCGCGCCACAACTGTATCGCCTGCCCTGTGTGTGGTGTTTGTGTGTGTGTGTGAGTGCTCGCCGTGTGGGGTGCTCTATTTTTTTACGCCCATTACCAACAAAACACTTTTGTTTTCGGGGTTGGTCTGACGTGCCATGTGCGGTAGAGCGGGTACAGGCTTTCGCCCTAATTTCGTGCCCATCGATTTGAATCGTGTATATATCATGATGACATGATGACTGATGACCGCGGAACCAAACGCAAACAACGACAGTTACACATGTAGGTGCTCCTGCTCGGACAGACGTGACAGTTATTTCGGGTTTGCGTGCTGTGTCCGTCTCTATCGGCACTAAACGGGCGATGATCCCAGGGAGGCGGTGCCGTCGTGAGACGGTGCTCTATCGAGAGGCCCCCCCCTCCTTGTCCTGCTCCCGGCCCTCTCGACGGTTTGCTGTGAACACACAGATGCCCGTTTGCATATCGGCCAGAGTGGTGGGCAGGGAAGGGCGCGGGTGTGGGCGGGGCCGGGCCGGGCATGTCGGCCGGCTGTCGCAGAGAGGAGCATCTCAAGGACGAGGGCGCGGGGTCCGGACAGACAACCGTCTCATTCTCTCTTTCAACTTTTTCTTTCTTTCTTCTCTTTACTTTTATAGAAAAATATGTCCCACTCGCCAAGCTGGGCGATTTAGTAGCCAGGCTTTTTACTCAAAAATTATGTAGACAGTATCAGAGCGTTTTGCCCCCGCCTCGTCCGCCCGACGAACAGAGACGTCCGCGGCGGTCTGGGCGCCTGCAAGTCGCTGGGTAGGCAGACCCGCACCGCAGGGAGGCGAGCTACCGGCCTACCCTGCAGGCGCCCGCCGCCTGGCCGGCCGGGAAACAAGCCGTCGAGCGGGAAAACGGGATAAGTCGACTTATCAGCAAGACCTCTTGCCTGCCCGTTACTGAAGTTCGGTCAATCAGAAGTGCCGGAAGTCGCCACGAGAAGTCAGTTTCCACCCAAAACTAACTTACCAAGATGATCCTAGCTTCTTTCCGATGCACCAAAGAGACGTTACAGATCAACAATAAGAAATACTGGAGGTTGGTCGACTTAACCCCTTCTTTCGCTTAACGGTGCATTTGCTTCTAGGCACGTTTTGGCACGTTGGCACGTCAGTACTCCCACTTCACCCTGACCGCCTAGACCACTTCCATTCGATTGCTATTCGTATTCCTTTCTTCAAGTCTTCTATTTTAAATAATACAAATGGTAACTATTATATGGAGAAGTCGGTTACTATGACAGGCCGGCCTTTCCTGGTGAAAAAGTCTTTTAAGAATTGGAAAATTTTTCTTTAAAAATATCATACACGTTTTAAAGTACGCGCGCCCAAGAGTTGCAAAACCTGTTGCTCGCCCGTGACCCCACAGCTGTCCGCTGTCCGCAGGTGGCGCAGCTGCTGACCGCCTGCAGATGAGGCAGTGCGTCCCAAGGTCATCAGAACCTGTTGCTCGCCCGTGACCCCACATCTGTCTGCAGGTGGCGCATCTGCTGACCGCCTGCAGGACCAGAATGGTGGCTGCAGATGAGGATGACGACCCCTCTGCAGCGCCGCGTCGACCCGCCGCCTTCCAGAGCCGTTTGCCGGGGCTGCCAGGCACCACCAGCTACAACCAGGTGAGTCAGCTTCAAATTACCTCAAAAATGCGAGTTTTACTTGTCCCTAGCTTATTTCATTCTTTCGTCCAAGAACGGGGACTATTTTGTGTAGCTCTCCTGGCATTCAACGTTTGGCGGAACTGCATTTCTGATTAGGACTCGCGTCGTGCTGAATAATCCGAATGCACATTCATCCCGACAGAGACAATGAAGCCCCTCCCCACTGGGGGCGGGGCGGGGCGGGGACGGAGCGTCTGCCGGCCAGGCCCACCCGGGCGACCCGTCGAGCTTGCCCTTTTTTCATTAACGTTTGTTTCTCTCGAGAAAAGTTAAAACGGACGTTTAATTAGGGACCAGAGGGTAGAGAATAATTCTCAAATCTCGCTCCCCCTCTATAATCCATCCCCGCTTTGCTCTGTGCGGACCGGAGCGGAGCGGGGGGAGGGGCGTGGGTATAACACAGTTGACTCCGCGCCGGCCCGGGCGCGCTTGTTAATTCGCTGCAAATTGCTGTTAATTGGTGATTAGGGTCTTTCAGTGTCACTTGGTTTCCCGCGGCAGGTGATAGCTCTTATTAAAGGAGGGGAAATCGGGAGTAGGGGAGTCGGGTGTCCATCAGATTTGTGTCGAGGTAACTCGGCCTCTCTAATCGCTGGAGGGGGGGGGGGGGCGCTCAGATTTGAGGAGAGGGGAGGGGAAGAGAGGAGGTGGTTGGCTCTCCGCGGGGAGAACTCTCCAGGCTAACGAAGAGAGTCTGTTTTCAAATGTGATATTACTTTTGTTTGGGGAACAACAACAATAATAATAAGCCGAAATAAAGTCGCTTGTGCGCAAAGTGCTACAAAGCGCGTTCAGGTTGCCGAGGGCGCGCGTTTGGGGGGCGCTGATATGAGACTCTCCCACGACTAGGCCCCGACCCTCACCCCTCTCCTCTAGCAGCGAGGAAGAGGATACACGGCTGGGGAGGGGGGCAGGGCCGGGCCGGGCAGGCGGGAAGAGCTCAGGGCATCACAACGAACTAAACTGTCGACCAAACTTTTCGCCAGGCCAAGCAGCAATTGTTTAACGCTTATTGTTTGGCCGTGGGGGTTGAGGCTTGGGGCGGGGTGGGCCAGCTGGACCGCGGGGTTGGCGGGGTCGGTGGGGCCTGCTCCGCAGCGGTCCGCGGCCTACCGCCTCTGCAGCCCCCC